AGAGTAAAGGTTCTGTCGGTTCTTTTTACCCCACCTACGTTTAAGCTTTTATCCACAACCTAGAAAAAACTGTTAAATCTAACTTAAAATTAACAATACGTTTTATAAAACAATTAAATAACGTATAACGAAAATTATATGAAGATCTTGTAAACTAAACAACAGTGCTCACAACCAAAAAAAGTTACAACAAAAGAAAACACTTCTATGATGGATTTTCAAACATTGCCATTGACCACGATGGTCAGAATCAAGGTCGCTGAATACAACTTTTTTCCTCTAAGTTAAAATTTTTAACATTTTGAACATCTGTATTTAAAAAAAATTCTGAGATACAGGTGGTGGATCTTTTTACCTACAGACCTTTAAACCCCACTTTACGCTATCGCAACTTAATTTCAAAAATAAATTCGACCAAATCGAGTTTAGATAAACTTATCTGATGAGAATTTCTTTCCAAATTACGTTTGATCATTATATGTAGTTTGCATTTTTGGAAAACAAATCTCTAATAAGATATATAAATACTAGAGTAGCATTTTATTAAAAATAATATACACATTTTTTTGGCGACACAAATGGATAATGATAAACGATAATCCTCATCGACATATATCAAATGGCTTTTAAATTTCTGGAATCGGTTTAGGGGTTTTTGACCACGTCGATGAAAAGTCTAATTTTGACAAACGCTAAAAAAACGATACTAATTTTTGCAAACTTTAACGAATTTTTAAAATTAAACAACTTGTCGTAGGACCATAATATTTCAGTATCATCTATAAGACTATGGGATCTACCGTCAAAAAAAAAATCACAAAAATTGTCTTCAGAATTACGGGCTAATAAGTGGACGAAAAATTTTTCACTTTTCTGCTATTTATAAAGAAACGGCTTGGGAAAACTGATAAACGCTAATCCTCATCAAGGTGCATCGAATGGCTTTTACATTTTTGAAATCGGTCCAGCCGTTTTTGAGAAAACGTCGATTTACGACAAAAAATGTCTTCACATACACACACACACATACTTTTCCTAAATTTGGTCTCATTCTCCTTCAGAAAGTTAAAAATAAAACCTAAAAGTCAATAAAACAAAAGCTTAAAAAAGAGGAAAAAATGTACGAAATTCGAATATAAACTGGTTAAATCTTAAACTATTTTTAAAAAATAATAAAAAACGGAAACCTTTTTGTTAGAAACCATCAGCTCAAAGGCAATTATCAACTTTGTATATAGTAGTTGCGAACAACTGCATAAATCAAGGTTATTTGGCATGTGTTAATTATTTACTTCAATAGAATTTTATTTTTATTTATTATTCGAGACGTCAGTTATGATTCACATTAAGTAGATACGTATGTAAAATTATTTGAATAAAATTATTGTTTACGCAAAAATATTCTGGACATCTTGAACTACACGTATAAATTGTGTTAGAATAATAAAGCATATTGTGGAAAATTATAGGCAAATGTAAGGGATGTTTTTTAAATACTTCAATCTTTCCTTCTACAGATTAAAATTCATATTAGTGATGTTTTTATTTTTTCTCCTAACTTTCTGTACTTATATAAAGATGGGGTTTACAATAAGGCGGGTCATTAACCCATAAATCCCCGTCGCGAACAACCCTAATTTTGTGCAGTAGCGATATCAATTTTCACTTGGAAATATAAATATTAAATATGTTCCCAAGTAAAAATAGCCCACTCATTAGAAAAATTCTGATATTAAAATAATCAAATATGGATTGAACAACCGTTGGGTTAACTAAACTCCGAGTGATCTAAAAATACGACATAAGGAGAAATATCAGCCCAAAAGCTTATAGAACGTAAGGTTTCGATTGCTGTTAAAACATGAATATATTTATATATATATATATATATATATATATGTGTGTGTGTGTGTTCTGAAATATTTTTTTGAAAGATGTACTCATCGCGCTTTATAAGTATAATTAAACATATTTTGTTTAGGTACATATTACATAAAGTTGATAAAATGTGATACGAACGCAATTTCTAATTAGAATACGGATTTTATTTTCAGTTATGATCAATTTTCTGTGATTACTGTTAACCAAATACTTTTCAATGGCAAACTAATTAATAAAAAAAAGTTTTGAATGTTTAAAAAAATATATTGGATTATTAACCAAAATCAGTTAGTTTGAAATTATCATTTAAATATATAATAATTGTAACCTTTCGCAGCCTTGCTTTGCTTGATTCACCGAACGGAATCCATTTCTTTGTTTAATTCGACCCTGGTGAATAGTTATATTTGATACAAATTAATTTTTTGTGCAATGACCGCCACAACAAAAAAAAATTATATGAACTATTGTCCAGGCGACAACAATTGCAAATGACAATAATTGTAACGCTTTTATTGTCATAGTTTACCTATGGATGCTCTTAATGTACTGTAATCAGTCAACGGCCACTATATCTGTGGTCCAGATCTAATATACATATAAAGTATTATTTGCAGAGCAAAAATTATTATAAATATCAGTGCATTTAGTCTAAAATGATCAGTTTTCTATATTTCTGTGCAAAGTGAATAGTGATACACTATTATGAATTAGGAATTTTTCTAAATTGAACATTAATTGTTTATGAACCTCATTTAAATTACGAAATTTATCAATTAAATATTATATTTTTAAACAAAACTATAATAATAATTTAATTAAATTATTGAAATGTGTATATTAATTTAAATTATAAAAGTGAATTAAAGATAAACGTCAATAAGTGTTAATATTTATTCTACTCTGTGCTTTATATAAGCCTGATTATAAATGTAATAATGTTTAGTGAAAACCATTAAATAAACTTTTTTACAGACCCTTGTAGTTAATTAGTGGCCAAAAATATGCTAATTAAATTTCACATTTAAATACTTGAAAATTTATACAAATATTTAAATAAAGTTACTTATAAAGAATTATTAAATTTCAAGTGTTTGTTCACACTCACCCTTACCATGTTTTGGGCATATGATATTTGTATGAAACTGATGCTATGGCCAGCAATGTTGCAAATAGCACAAATGAAAGGACTATGTCGTCCTCAACAAATTGTAGTTGTTCCCGCTCCAACCATAATCATGCCAACTGTGCCTCCTCCAGAACCAACCGTTGCTCCGGAAACCACTACCATTGGCATCATAGATGCATCCACATTCCCAACAGTACCTCCTGGAACAGATTCCTGTGTGGATTGCGCCACAGAAACTACGGTACCTCCTGTTACTGAACCTCCTACGGAACCTCCAACAGATCCCGCAACACCACCAGTTATAGACGCATCATCATTTCCCACTGTTCCTCCAGGAACAGATGCATGCCCAGATTGCACCCCTTCTACCGAACCCGTTCCTACTGAACCACCAACTGAACCTCCAACTGAACCTCCCACTGAACCTCCCACTGAACCTCCTACTGAACCACCCACCGAACCTCCTACAGAAGCTCCTGCACCAACCGACCCTCCCGTTATAGATGCTTCATCGTTTCCAACGGTACCTCCTGGCACAGATGCTTGCCCAGATTGTAGTCCCTCGACAGAACCTATGCCAACGGAAGTAACCGATTTACCAACAGAACCGCCTTCCCCTTCACAGCCCCCAGTTATAAGCCCGTCTGCTTTTCCTACTGTACCACCAGGTCCTGACGCTTGTCCAGACTGTTCGCCATCTACCGAACCCGTTCCTGCGACTTCTCCGGATTCTATGGAACCCCCCATTATAAGTCCCTCGCCGTTTCCAACAGTGCCTCCGGGTACTGACAGTTGTCCAGACTGTGATACAACTGTTGCCCCCGAAACCGAAGCTCCACTTCCTGTACCTTCGCCAGAACCTCAGCCATCTCCACCCACTCTAACCGCTTCTTCTTTTCCTACTGTACCTCCTGGGGAAGACGCTTGTCAGGATTGCGCCGAAACTGGAAATGTAGACGAGAGAGCGCCTATGTTAAGAGCATATCAAACTACCAAAAAGCCCTACAAACCTGTTGTGTTTCCGGGAGAGGTGTCGGTGCACACAGGTAATGCAAAACGGAACAATGACCTAATTAAATTCTCATTAAAAACAGTTCTACGAAGCGGCGAATTGGAAAATGAAAAATCACTTGCTAAAAGATCATTGCTGCAAAATAGTAATCATCTAGTACAAAATTACATAAATCTTGGCTATCCTCGGCAGTATATATCCTCGGCATATAAATCAAAACTACCGAATGAAAACAAATTTAATCATGAGTATAACCATGAGAAAATTAGACAAAAAAATGATACAATAAAGAGCAATTCATCAGAAGCATTTAATGAACGCTGGAATTATGATAATAGTAAAAATTCTCAAATTACATTTCCACAGTACGCTAAATCATTTCCTTACATTCAACCGATAGATATCAAGCAAATAAAAAGACATATTTTAGACAGTATTGAGAATAAAAAAACAAAGATTTTAAACATTCTAAAAAGTAATTTCTCGGCCATCACTTTATAGTTTTTATGAGTATTATCATATATTATAATCAATCATTTACTGACATTTACATTTATCATCAATGACGAAGTTATATTATGTTTCAAAGTAATTAAGTCTCGAAATAATTTCTAAGTAAACTACTGACTACTTCAGTAATTTCTCTTGACCAACAATCTCATCTACCATTGTCTAGCAGCACCATTGACTAAATAGCTGATTTTTTTAAATTTTATCGCATATCACTTATAGATTAAATATATTATTTTGAAATTTGTTTTTTCCGCGCAAATAAAAAAGGTACAGATTTCCTATTCCCTTCCATGTTAATCCTTTAACCCATCGTTTTATAACAAAACCTAAAATCCTTGGCACTTCTCCTAAAACAAAATCCCGTTCCAAAGATCCATCTTCCTCAAATCCTCACAACAACTAAAAACAAAAACAAAACTAAGCAAAATCAACTGTGATACAAGAAGTTTGGTATGGTCTTCACAGGCGGAGATAGATCAACGCCTTGCTCGACTCCTGAACGTAGGCAGGGTGCGTGCGTCAACATCAGGCGTTGTGTTCCCTTGATCAGAGTTCTCCAGGCTGCAGCCAGGCAACCAGAAGCCGCCGTGTATTTGAGAAACAGCGTTTGCGGGTATGAGGGGTCCGACCCAAAGGTAAGGAACACTCGTTGATTTTAGATTTATTAACTTCCCGTGGGGCAGTTTATAGTAATCGCGAAAAAATCGGAAATGAAAATTTTTATATATTTATTATCGTTCTACGTTTAATACTACTATTGTCATTTAATTTATCATTTATTCGCTTATTTAATCTTTTTTATTTTTATTTTTAATTTTCCTTAGGGTAAGTAATAGTAATCGCAAAAAATCGAAAATGAAAATCGGCTCACATACACCTACATAATCAAATCGGATTTTTTCGCAAAAAGTTAAAAATCGTATTTTATGTGATATGTCATATTTAGTTTCATGTTTGATGTAACTACTATCTGTATTAGCCAGATAAAAATAAAATTTTCGAAAATATGACGAATACTGAATTAGAAAAAATCATATACATATTATGAAGTTCTATCATGTACTCATTTACGCCCAACGCCGCTTCTATAAGCAAAACTTGAAAATGGAATGTTAGATGTTAGATGTCACCGCATCGTATACCTGGGTCACGTTAACCTGTAATCGCCGCACAAACCTGAAAGGATTTTGCTTGTCTCGGTCGAAACGTCGTTTGGGCAAGATCATACTTCACAGGATCATTTCTGTAGTATGTCTTCACAATCTCTTCACTCAAACGTGGAGTTGATGCGACCTCGACGATGAGTCGTAGCATCGCACCCTGAGCGTGAGAAAGGTGATCGAACTTCATTGCGAGTTTGATCATCATCGATGACCGTTCGCCGAAATCCCCTCGTGGATTTTGGTCATGGGTGTGATGCTTTCTGAGAGGTCTCTCTTTAAACATGATATATATTATATTGATTGCATTCCAAAAACGCTGCCAAACATCTTTTCAATTTTTATGTTTCTTCTTCTTAAATAAAAATAGATAAGAAAAGAAGTACAGTTGGACAGCAAAAGTTTCAGCGAGATAAATAATGGACTGTCATTCTATTTTTAACCCTCCGTCGGTCGGCGTGGTCTAGCCAGACTTTTTTCGACTTCAATTAAAAAAAAAAAATACTTATAGTAATCCTATCGACTTGAAATTTCTTAACTTTTCCTAAAATTTCATTAGCTGTCGATCAATGAAAAAATCAGGACGAAAAAATGTACAGAAGGATAATTATAAGGATATTAACTTTTTTATACTTTGAACGGTCGGAAAGGTCTGTCTAGACCACCCATACATTTTGTATGAAATATACGCTTTTTGATATATGTAAACCAGTATTTTGTCTTTTTTCATGTTATTTTCTATTCAAACTGCGTTGTTTATATTCTTTGCTATGTGTTCTAACATGAATGTTAGTATTTTCATGACGAGAGTCCCTTGAAAACCTACCAAACTTATTGGTAATCGCAAACACTGAAAATCGGATGAGTAATGTACACATTCATTTCAAAGGCGTCGAAAAAGAATAAATATTGTTTTTCATTGATATAAAACAGAAAAATTAACAAAAAAGCAACGACTTTTTTATATTTCTTGATTTTTTCATATAATCGTTAATATATAAGACACCAAAAACTCATTTATCCCATATAAATACATGTAAAATGAATGGTGGTCCAGCCAGACCTTTCCGACCGTTCGAAGGTGAAAAAATATCCGACCGACGGAGTATTAAATTAGTTGTGATAGCCGAAACTTGATTGAACACCGTTTATAAGAGTACTCAGATCGTTATATTCATATTTATATTTTTACAAGATTGGTTATTATGGGTTTGATGCTTTCTGAGAAGAATGCTTTGCTGTAGGCATAGATAAACAAATATATGGCTGTAGGGTAAGTTATAGTAATCGCAAAAAAATCGAAAATGAATTTTTTATATATCTTTACGTTTCAGAGGTTTCTGAACATTTTGGCATAACTTAGAAAAAATTGATGCATGTGTGTGTGAATAAAAATTTTGTCGACGATCTTGGGAACACCGATCAACCGATTTGAATCAAACAAAAAAAATTCGATTCGTATTGATAAGAAGACGTGCGAAGGTTTTTGGCGAAGGCAGGTCTAGCCGTTCCGAAGATACGGGGCAATAACGGTAACTCACTTTTTAAAAGAACGGAGCTTCCAATTTTAATAATTCCAAAAATATTTTACTTGGATTGACAAGATAAAGGAATGATTAAATTAGCAGGTCTAGCGGTTATGAACTCTCAATAAAAATAAGTTAAAAAATTATTATTTGGCGATCAACAATGTTTATTGGACATATGGAAATCAAATTATTAGATATTTTATAGAAATTTTAATAATGTATACACATTTTGTGTAAATTTTTTTGGTTTCCGTACCAGGATTTTTAATTACGGATGGGAAGTTTGAGCAATTTGCCTCAAGACACGATGCCATGCACCCCACAGTTTATATTATTATCAAAAAACTTATAATCTAAAACAAAATTTTTGTCATTTACCAATACCTTTGTCAATACCTTTTATGAAATATGACTTTTTTTCTGATAACTAGTTGTAAATTTTATAAATAATTTTAATATTGTTATATATTTAGGTTTGCTGCGCTCTTGTTGCTACACCAACTACTAGCAAGCCAGTGCCAATAACAAAAGGTTTGTTAACTAAAGAAAATGGTTGTGGATTCAGTAATGCAACCCATCCGAAAGTGGTTGGTGGTACACCTGCTGAATTGAGTAAGTCAAAACTGATTTTGAATTTAAAATCCTTAGCACAAATTACAAATCATTCAATAAAATCATCAAATAAATTTTATGTACGAGAATGTTCGGCTTTTATCTAGTATCCAGTACATGACTTGACATTGGAAGGCAACCCAGTGGTTGCCCTATCTTAGTTGCGACATGACTATACTAATAGTATATTTAACTCATTTTTTACATAGATTATATTCGAGATCTGTAACCTTATAAATTTGATAGCATGCTGACTATTATAGAACTGAAATTCATATCAAATCCGGAATATTTTTGCAAAATTATTTAATAATGAAATTAATCTGTAATTATTAAATCTATCAGTGCTCTCTTCTTATTGAGAGGCTTAATTTTTGAATGTTTAAGATGATTTGGATAAATACTTTCTAGAGATGGGTAACTCATTCCGGAGTTATCATTCCGATACAACTCCTCCCTCGGAGTGAATCCGAGTGGAGTTGTCTCACAGGATTTGTCATATCCGACTTTCCAAAACTGGTACTAAATCTGTTAACATGTGTAGATATTTGCTTGAGATTTTTTTATTAATACAAAGATTTAGGTCGAAACAAGTGGTCTTTTTATCGTTTCCCAGCCTGTTTTAGGACTTTCCAGGTATACAATGTCTCAAAATAATGCTATTTTGTATTCTATATTCTGTATACGACAATGTTTGTCTGCAAACGAGCTCTTTCAATTGTATACAACCAGCTAAAAAATATTTAGTATTATAACTTTTACACAATCAAGATTTTATAATTGTGTAAATGATATAGTATGTTAATCAAACTAACTAATGTATAATTAATTCTCGAAAATAAAATAATAAAAGAATGTGAGGTTATTATTATTTTGTGAAAAATATTATACACAAAGATTTGTCCTTATTTTATATATAAGGTTCACTGCATTATTTTCATATAAAAATAAACATATTCAAAGAATTGATTTTGATTCCCAAATTTTTCGTCAATTTGTATATTGAAATTCATAAAATAGTAATTATTATAATAAAATGAACAGAAATGTTTGAATTATTTGCAAACTATTTTCAAAGTCTTAATTAATCCTTAGATATGTTAACAACACACTAGAGAACACATTTGTGCCAAGTATTATGTTACAAAGTTGTCGGAGTTGTGGAGTTGTGTTAAGTGGATATAACTCCTCTCTGAAGCGGAGTGAAATCCTAACCGATCCTTCGGATAAATAAGCCCATCTTTAATACCTTCTTTAATACCTTTAATAAAGCATACGAGAAGTTTGTTAATAAATATTGGAAAACAACTGTTTTGAAATGCTAAATAAAATTTTATCTTGTCTTGAGGAATATGAGTTGTTAATAGATTAAAGTCCTTAGAAAAAGAAAGAATATTACCAAATTTTGAAGTAAATTTTGATTTTATGTATGTTATAGATTCTTGGCCATGGTTAGCAGTTTTAGGCTACAGAAGAGGAGATGGTACTTACCGTTGGCTATGTGGAGGAACACTGGTTTCTGATAGGCACATTGTAACAGCAGCTCATTGCGTTTTTGGACGAGACGATCTGTGAGTTTAAATTATGAAAATTTAAATTTTATTAGTTAAATCAAGAAGCACATCAATGATGTTGAGGAGCATTAGTACATATTATATTTAAAGTTCTTAACACATGGCTATTTAGCTTGAATTACATTTAAATTTGAGTATCCTTAAAAAATAGATTTTGTACGCCTGGAATTCAGGCGAATTTGCAACATTTTTATATTACGAGCGGACGTAGGCTTTTTTATTACTATATTCAAATTGTTATTATATATAATAGTAATAGGAATGAAACTTTCCGTATCAGAACAACAAATTGAGGAAGAAGGATATACGAGGTCAAAATATTTATTTATTCGTCTACATTAATGTGGTCCCCTTCAAAGTAGTCCCCCCCAGATATAATACACTTATGCCAGCGTTTTTTCCAATTTTCGAAGCACCCTTGATATTCACTTTTTGATATGTCCTTGAGCACTCTCAGCGATTTTCTTCAATCGAGGAAAACCGCCGTCCTTTCATGGGTCTCTTCAACTTTGGGAATAGGAAAAAGTCACACAGAGCCATATCTGGTGAATCTTTGCACTTTGCAACACTTTATTTCATTTTTTTACGCAAAATTTAATACAAATTCTTTGACTTTTCAATTCTTCCATTGTAAAAATCGCCGAGCTCAGAAAAACACGTCGAACCTTAGCGACTACCACAGACAAAGTAAACAGTGAATATAGCTGAAAATTTCATCATACTTTAGGGGCATGTATACCAACACAATAAAAAAAATTTTGACAATCAGACACTCCAGACCCGCGAAATTTAATTATTAGTAATTCCGGGTACTTTTTGAACACACCTCGTAGTTAAATATTGATACCTTTATTCGTATTAATAAATATTGATCAATGGTTAATAATAACTTTTTAAAATATTTTCAAAGAGTTAATTATAATTACTATATTTTATTTTATAATATATCGTTCATATAATATACAGTGACGATTTTATCGCACAAAACACTTAGGAATGTTTGCATTAACAAGAGATGCCGATCTGAGGATATATTCCTTATTGTTATAATATCGCATTCGAAATATATGCATATTTAAAGTGAATTGTGAATTTAAAATTTATATTTGAAGTATAAAACTTTGTATATTTTTAGAAAATGAAAAAAAAATTTAAGATTTCGAAACTTGTTTTAACCGTATAAGTGAACTTTGAAATTTAAAAATCTTGATACGGAACCCCAAAAAATATTAGTAATCTATAAAATATCTGATAATTTGATGTGCATATATCTAATGATCACAAAATATATCTTTTTTTACTTAATCTTCTGTATCTCCGAAACCGCTGGCCCTACACTCTCAAAAGTTTAATCAACACGTCAATTCGCCAATACAAGTAAAATGTTTCTTTAAATCACTCAAATCGGGTGCTCCTTTACCTCAAAAACTGAATCACTATTCTTGGCATTTTTGCTCCGTATCCTCGAAATGACTGGACCTGCCTTTGACAAAAATTAGTCAGCAAGTCTTCCCATAAGTAGGAATCGAATGTATTTTGAATCATCCTAATCTTTTGATGCGTGAGCCCGAAATCGTTGACAAAAATTGTATCCAAACATACATATACACACACACCCACACACTCCACATTAATTTTTTCTGAGGCATGACAAAATGTTCAGATACTTTCAAAACTTGAAGAAATGCAAAAATGTTCAATTTAAATTTTTGGACGATTACAATAACTTATCCTACGGGTAGTTAATAATGAATTTTTAAAACCTTTAATGATTTCAGTTCTTATTTAGATGAAATATAACGTTTATTTATTTTATCCTCATTAGGGAAATGGTGCGTCTTGGAGAATTGGACTTAGCTTCCACCAATGATGGTGCACATCCAATAGATATTCCGATAGCAGAGAAAATCATGCATGAGCAATATAACAGAAAGTCTTCTACAAACGATATTGCTGTTTTAACATTGCGCAGCCCTGTTACATTTTCTGGTGAGTATAAGTAAATTAATAAATATATATGTATAAACACATCTAATCTAATATGACATTTGAGCACAAAATTTCTAATTACAATAGAATAATAAATTCGACGTTTTTTGAATTATTATTAATTTCCACTTTTTAGTGCTAATTTTATTTTGAATTTGAGATCTTCTTTAAATCTTTTTGAGAAAATTAAAAATAAAAACCATTATAATTTTCAGAATCTATAAAACCAATATGTCTACCAACACCAAGTGATGTTAGAAATGATGACTACGTTCGCAAATTTCCATTTGTTGCTGGATGGGGAGCCTTACGATTTGGTAATTTTGCAGATTCTTGTTACATCTCGAGCAACTAAACAAATTGTAAAAAATTGATAAGAATATTTCAAGATTAAGATATTTTATAAAAATTGTTAAAAAGAATAGGGTAGAGTAGGGCTTAAAGATTCGCGGATAAAAAAGTCAACCAACGATATTTCGAAAACAAGTGAAGTTAAGCATTTTTCAACAACAATATTTGAAAGTGGAGTGAAAAAGATGTACAACCAACTACCACCTTGATTCTAGCGACGTCTCTATCGGAAGAAGAATAGCAATGTTTGAAAATCTGTTACAAAAGTATTTTCTATCGTTGTTAGTTTTTTTTGGTTGCACTGTATATTTACAAAATTTTAAAACTATGTATTTTTAAGTTAACGTTATTTATTTCTTTATAAGATGTCTAGCTATTTTAAGTTAGATTCAATAATTTTCCTTATATAACTCCCATAAAAGGTTACATGTGAGTGGGGTAAAAAGGACTAACTGAACCTTTACCCTCACGTAGGTGCTAAGTTAGTACTACTAACAATAAGACATAGTAACTAGAAAAGTAAATTAAATTTAAAAAAAACAATTTAACAATAGTTAAGTTAAATAAATAGTTATTCCAACTCCCGCTGAGGCAAAAAGGACGAGATGACAAATTTCTGAAAAACAGCAAAAAAACACATTACTACAATGATAAATTAGCTGGGAGGTTTACTGAACATGGTTAGATAGTTGTTTGTGAACAATCCAGATTTTCTGAACAATTTTTTCAACACTTGATTCTAAAATACATACTTAAAATCTTTTTACAAACAAATGCGAACAATTACTCTGTTTTGAACCGTAAAGATATCGATTTTTTACGATTTTAATATATAATTTTATATTTTTGTAAGTATGTTAATTATTACGTACTAGATGAACCGACAGACGTTGTCCTGTACTTCTGTTTACAATTCAAAAGTTCTAATTATTGTTAATAACCAATACTGATATTTACCAATTAGTTAAAAATTATTATGTTTTTTTACACTACAGTCTATACCGAAATGTATATTGTACATCCACTCATATGGATCTTAAATGTTCAACTGCTTTAAATAAAATGATGAGTATTTGTTTTTTGGAAAAACATTATTAAACATTTTTTTCTTATAAATAGTTCTTTTATCGTTATCCGACGTTATTTAAAAAAAAATGAAATTACACCACTGAGAGGGATGTCATCGCCCCGGAATATGGCAAAGGAGTATCAATTATTTTCACTTCTGAACTTGAGAGTAAGATAAACCTAATTTCAAAATTTCATACGAATTGGAGCACAGTAAAAAAATTCAGACTCAAAACGCTTCATTGTCTTGAGTAAATATTCCGTATCCGATGGCAAAAATATGAAAATACTAACGTTTGTATGTGAAAAAAAAAGAGCTGTTTTTAGGGTTTTTCCAGCAATTATTCGATTATTTCTCACCCTAAGAACCATCCTTGGGCTTCAACGAACATTTTAAGAAAATAATTGAACAAATTGATTCAGACGTTGTTGAATTATGCGCTTACCAACACATTTTGGGATTCTTTTTTATATTATAGATTAGTTAATTGATGACAATTTATTCGGCAAAATGCATTATGACCTTTTACCATTTTTGCTTTTTCAAAGAAATTTAAACAAGTTCAAAAATTCAAAGTGGCGCGAGTTTGATAATAGAAAGTAGGAACAAAAATATTACAAAGATACAATAATTATATTGACATTGTAGATCAGAAAGTATTGCACAAAAATTGGATACATAAAATTTCTTCTGAACTTAAGTTCAAGCAATCCTTTTGCATTTTCTGATGTCGTAGATATTATTTGCTCATTTTGACTCTGTTGCTAACTAAATAGTACTATAAGTTATTGTATTTCTTATTATTTTGTTCAGGTGGGCCTTCAGCTACTAAACTTCAAGAACTTCAAATACCAGTGGTGACCAATGAACAGTGCAAAGAAAACTACGCGAGCTTTAAAGCTCAGATAATCGATGAACGGGTTTTGTGCGCTGGATACGCCAATGGTGGTAAAGATGCTTGCCAAGGCGACAGCGGTGGGCCACTTATGTTGCCAGTGGTAAGCAATATACAAAAACATACCTAATTCATTCACAAACATATTATGGAATCATTATCAGCATTTTCATTCTCATAACATTAATTTATCGCTGACATTATGATTTACTTTTTTGACATCTTTCTTAGTAAAAGGCTTGAAGATCAGTTTCACTTATGTAGCCATTGGTAAGCATATACGACAACATAACGTATTCATTGACAAACATTTTATGATATCAATATTAACATTATCATTATCATAACATCAATTTGTTGCTCACATTATGACCTTTTTGACACCTTTCTTTGTAGGAGGCTTGCATATAACTAGCTTGTTTATTAATGTTTAAGATGTAATGGGCTTAATTTTTTAATGGCATCGTGCCTTAAAGCAAATTGCTGGAACTTTCCGTACCAATTTTTTTTTTAAAGATTAACATTTTTGAAAAAAAATTACTTTGAAAAAATTAGATTTTTGAGAAACTATAAATTTTTGACAAAAATTTACTTTTTTAGAAAACAGACTTTTTTTAGAAGAAAATGTTTTCTTTATTTTGAAATATTTTGGAAATTCTAAACTTTTTTTCAAAGCACTTTAACTGCATAGAGATGAAATATCCAAGCGCGTAAGCGCCGTGTCGCCGTCTAACTGATAAACATTGGTACGGAACCCATAGAAATGTAAACAAAATGTATACTTATTGTTAAAATATCCAATAATTTGATGTGCATATGTTTAATGATCATTTTTGACCACCAAATGGCATTTTTTTTACTTTTTTACTAGATTTCCGAAACCGCTAGACCTGCCTTCATAAAAATTTAATCCTTCATTTTGCCAATACAAGTAAAATGTTTTTTGAATTATTAAAATCGGACGCTTCGTTCTCTTAAAAACTGAGTTACCATTTTTGGCACTTTTTGCCCCGTATCTTCAGAACGGCTAAACCTGCCTTTGCCAAAAACTAATCAGCACGTCTTCTTTTCAATAGGAATCGATCGTTTTTGGTTGAACCTTGTTTTCGAAATCGTCGACAAAAATTTGTAATCGAACACACACACACACATACATACATAAATTTTTTCTAAGGTATGCAAAAATGTTCAGAAACCTCTGAAACGTAATTTAATTATCGATTTTTTGCGATTACTATAACTTACCCAACCAGAAGTTAATAATAGTATATTTAATATTTTAAAATATATCAATTAAAAAAATCAATGATTAATTTTTGGTGAAAATCAAAATTATTTTAGAAACAAGCAGTTTAAATTTTATTTAAAAGCTAAATCTCATTCCTAATGATTAAGTATATTACTTAATATTTAATGAAATTCATGTAGTTGGCTTTAAGATAAAATCACTCTTACAAATTAGTACCTAAGTTACAAATTTGTACCGGTTTAAATAGTACCCAAAGCCTCAAAATATTCCCAACATCCTAGCATTTTAGAATATACATGTATTCTGAATGCCAGTGACCATTTCCTATTTAAAACGGAATTTTTGGAAGCAAAATATATTCTCAAATGTCAAGATGTTGAGAATATTCTAAAGATATTACTATTTAAAATAAGTAGAAAATACACAAAACACTTTTCCATAACTTTTTTAATTTATATATACGTCAATCACAGTTAAGTGGAAGACACCATTTCTGATATCCTATTGTAATGAAATTTCAAATCCATGTTACAAACTCATGTATATTCTGAACCAAAACTCAATTTTTTAGGTAGTAATTTCTGGATTCAACTTTTGTACATAGTACCTAGACTCGATCCGTGTATCCTTTCCATGTGAATCTGCTAGTATGATTAGTGCCTGCAAGGTTTGACATTAAAACTTAATATAGTTATGTTATTGAAAAAAATATTTTTTGGAAATTAAAAAAAACTTTAAATATGTTTTTTACAGAAGCAATTGCTTCGTAAACACAAGCAGAAAGTTTTTTGAATCATTCAAATCGGATGCTTAGTTCTCTCAAAAACTGTCATTTTTTCCACATTTACCTCTGTATCTTTGAAATGGTTAGATCTGCCTTTGCCAAGAACTAATCACCACTTCTTCCCATTATTACAAATTGAATGTTTTCCAAATCAATCAAATCGGATTTTCCAGAATGTTCAGAGATCTCTGAAGCAGTTTTGATTTTTGTACGATTACAATAACTCATCTTACGGGAAGCTAAAATATTGTTCTTTTAGTAAGAATAGGGAATAGGTGCTGTTTTCAATCTATTTGCATCATCCATTTGTCGAACAGACATCATTCATATGTGGAATAAATCATTCATTAAAACACTAACATTGATCATTTCTGTGTTCAATCGTATATTGAAATTGGTGTAATTATTATTGATGAATTATATTTGTACGTTTTTAAATTTAGATCAATGATAACCGGGACGGATACCATTATTACCTGATAGGTGTGGTTTCTTACGGATTCAAATGCGCTGAACCAGGATTTCCTGGAGTCTATACCAGAGTGTCACAGTTTTTGCCATGGATAGAATCAAAGTTGCTTTAATTTTTTCCCTTATTAACTAAAACAACCTATTCATTACAAAATATTCACCAGATATTGATATTTATTAGGAAATTTTGAGAACCCAAAAATATTTTATATACGAGAATAAGAAGCCGATTCTACCGTGAAATAGACCAATGTTATCGCAAGACTATGGTATGTAGCGATTTTCATATGAAATGGTACTAAAAACTATCAAAATTCTATGTGCAGTCAAACGTTTTGATAAAAAGCCTAACCTAAAAACTGTACAATATAAAAAAAAATGTTATGATAACTGGATTTTTGTGATAAGGTTTAATAATATATGAGTGAAGTCGCATTTTATGTATAAAACGCCTGATTGTACTGCAAATACATGGTATTTGAAATGTGTTTAGTACGATTTTGTATGAAAACTACCACGTGACATTGCCTTGCCATAACATTGATCTGTTTTATGGCAGAATCGGCCCATAAGTATTACTATTTTTCAACTATATTTACTGAATTGGGCCAAACAGCTCAGTTATAAATTTATTTTGGTCAATTATCATAAGTTTAGCGACATATACTATACTTTATAAGATAAAAATCATTACATCACTTAATATTTATTATAAAGCCATTAAATCAATGAATAGACATAACGAAAAAACAATAATTTGTTCTAAAATATTATTATAGTACATATGTAACAATTGGTCAACATTTTAAAAAGTGATAATATCGAACCTGTTCATGAATTTTGGTTTACAATAACAACATTGGGTAAAATAGAATCTAACAATAAAAAAGGTTCAAAAATAACTTCAACCTAACTTCAAAGTATTATCACAATGTTGAAATGCTGTAATCATTTCCCATTAAATACAATTGTAATCGAACTCATTTACCTCATCACAAATTTGACCAATTATTTTATCCTGATCAACTCGGTCAATTCAATTATATTTCTACTTAATATATTTTATAAGAACTTTATCGAATATAATCCTTTTTATATTTATAAGATAAAATAAGGATTACAGCTAATATATTGAACAAATATTCAGATTATCCAAAATATCTACAATGTTTAATATCGCTGTATTGTGATAGAATTTAAAGGTATAGAATAATATATTATAAATGTATATACAACTATGTTATTAATAAATAATAAAAACTTTTGATAAAACAAAAGACAGGTAGAGCAAGATTAATTTTGACGGAATTAGTTTATAACAACATTACCTTCTTCAAAGATAAAACATTGAAAAAAATCGAGGTCGAGGATGAAATTCGTTGGACTATTTATGGAAAATCTCTAGACTTCGACAATATTTCTGTTATACTGATGAATTATTTATTTGATATGTGATACAGATTTCTAACAATTAGTATTAGCTATTTCCAACCAATTGAAAACCAGCAAAAGTAATTCTGATTCCAAAACCTGACCTTCAGATATCTTATCAGCCACCTATCAATGATATCAAATTTTTTTGGAAAACTGCTGCTGATGAGAACATCATCATTTTGGTTTCCAAGAGAAACAGTCAACTCTAGAACAAATTCACCCAGAAAAGATTGAGGACTAATTACAATTACAGCTATTCTGTTCTGCGATATTTCTTATTCTGTTCTAAAAATGCAACCGTTTTATTTCAAATATTATAATTCTCACATATCAGAAGTCGAACCATTATACTTGTCTATCTATGAGTCGAACATTGGTTAAAATTTTGGATATTTAAAGATTTCAAGATTTATGGAGATTTGGAGTGGACAGTTTGAAGTCTATATGTATGAATTTTACCCTCAGGAAAAAATCAAGTTCTTCAGTTAAATTTTTCAATCAAATGGTACCGCAAGTAAAAGTTGTTGCTGGTAAAAAATTTACTTGGGAACATCATATACAAAAAATGCGTTCACAACTAGAAACAAAAAGAAAGAAATTATGTTGGCTGCTAAATAGAAAATCGATCTTAGTTATATAAAGTATCAGGTCCAATCAAATGCGCAATGTAAAATTTTATTCGCATATATAGAATAAATTAGAAGAAAAACCAAACTTCTTATGTCCTATAATATCCAAAACGAATGGTAAAAGCAACGATCAAGTATTAGGTAGGGCGGGGCTCAAAGGTTCAATTTGATTTTAAGTAACTATAATGTCTATAAATCAAATGAACTAGATCACAACACATAACACTTATCAAACAAACAACTATCAAACTATGTTCAGTAAAGTTCCCAGTTAATTTCTAATTTTAGAAATGTGTTTTTTACTATTTTTCTAAAATTTGTCATCTGCTTCTATTTACCCCATAGACAGGCAGCCGTCAAACAAATCCAATGTCTTATTTTTAATTTTAAAGGAATTTTTCAAAATATTAAATAATATTTAACCCATGCAGAATATAAAATTCATGTGCACATTTTTTACATTGACAACACTATACAAAACCTTGATCTAGTATTTTATGAGAAGCATTCATCAGCAAAGTTGCAATAACTAATTAAATTTGGAATGAATTTGGATGTATTTTTATAAACTGAATTTACCTTTAAGTTTTCAATTACTGTTACTACTAAACACTTTTTAAAGTAAATTAAAATCTGATAATCTAAAGCATAATCCTTGATTTTTTGCAATTTCTACACGATATTCAATGATTATATTAAAAAATTATGTATCGTTGCAATAGATTTTTGTACTATGGCAATAGTTTTGAATTGGGCTTTTGTAATAATATCGATAGAAGAAAGAAAACATAACTCGATAAGTTTCCAAATAAATTTATTGCTGCACTTTCAAATAGAGCCATATATAAGATTTTTGCTGGTCTTATGTTTTCATATATGAGTTAAAAATATTCTGATATAAAGTAACAATTACATTGTAGAAATAATGCTATTATAAAAATGTGATTTATTCATGAAATTATAATTTCTTTTAAGATTTCTAAGATATAAGCGTTCTTGTTTTTTCATATATTTTTGCTATTTCAACACTACACTTTAAAACGTGATTAATAACTTGAGATTGTATTTGAGATCTATAATATCAAAGACAAACTTGATATTATACTGATTGATATCAAGCTGGCCGAGGTTGGGATTGAACCAGAGATTAGTTTGTGCTTGCACACGTTACCAACGATTACACTATGATGGACACATTAATGTTGATTATATTTTGTTTCATTCTGAACGTTCATTTTTAGCCTCGTCGAAATAAAAGAAAACAAATAAATAATGAAATATTTATTTATTTGTTTCATTGTAACATTATCAAAAATTGAATCTTATTTAAAATTATTCTAATTTGCAATCTGAGAATAATTAAATTCGACCTTCAAAATTTTTGTAGAATGGCTGCAAATTCAAAAATTTTTTAACAAAATTATATACACAAATTTGCATTTTTCATTCGTCTACGCGTATATTTAAATGATAGATTGGGACATATTTTAAGAATTTGAATGGCTCAAAAACAGGATTTACTCAAATTGATACATTGTCAATAAAAGTACTGTATATGTAGGTAAGTGTAAGTATAGGTATGGATATGGTGTAATAATCTTCTGCTATATGACGCACAAACTTTCGGATTGAAACAAAAACTTGTTTTAAATCGCCCTGTGATTCTTAACTATTTCTTCTTTAACCATGATATTTTTTATATTGGACAAAATATATACCATTATATCGAGTTGTCCGATGCTGGAATCGAATCCGGGACTTGTTTGTGCTAGCACACGTACTTATTAACTATTGAACCACGATAAGTTATTTTTACTTAATGAAATAAAAATAGTAATAAAATTTGCATCAAATAAATGTTGCATGGTAGGGCGGGGCATTAAGGTCCAGTTTGACTTTGAGTAATTATATTGTGAAAACCAAAACAATTATATCATAACAAATAACACACATCAAACAAGCAATATCTGACTATTTTAAGTAAATATCCCAGCTAATTCATCGTACTACAAATGTGCTTTTTTCTGTTTTTCAAAAATTTGTCGCATGGTCTTTTTCACTCCATAGGCGGTGTAAATTAAGATAGCCAGTGGACAAACAGGTCTAATATCTACATACATCTTTTTACCTCTACTTTCCAATTTTGTTATTTAAAAATTGCTTACTTAAGTTACTTTACATATTAAACTTGTGAACCGTCCTCCATATTATTATCATCAGTACTATCCCGCAGACCGACGAAGTAATCAGAATAGTGCAGTTGTTTGACAGGTAAAATACAATTTATCTTATTGAAATTTAAATTGAATTTGTCAAAAGTCCAGACTTTTCGGAGATACGGAAAAATAAAAATTCAGTTTTCAAGAGAATGGAGCATCTGATTAGAATGATTATAGTTTTGAAGAGAACTGAGCATTCGATGAGAATAGTTCAGAAACATTTGATACGTATTGACGGGGAGACGTGCCGATTACTTTTTTTTGAAAAGCAGGTCCAGCTATTAGAGAAACGATGCAAATAATAATCTGATCATCTGATTCGAATAATTCAAAAAACATTTTGCTTATTTTGACTATAAGAAGAAATGATTAGTTTTTGGGGAAAGCAATTTTTTCCAATTAAAGAAGTTTTTTTTATAATTTCCAAAAATATTTTTTTTATATATAGAACAAAAAGATTCAAAATTGGTTTTAATTTTGATTCTAGCAAAAATTCTAAATCTCACCTTTATACTTGAAATAAATAATTTTAACTTTGCAATTCAGTTTATATGATTCTTAGAAATATGAGATAGGGTTCTTCATTCTAACTCCGTTTGATTGAGATTAGTTTATTTTCTTCTCATGTAAACTTATATAAACATCGACGTCTAATTTATAAGCTTCTATATTTTATCTAAAAAATACAAATAATAATAGTTACAGTGAGCTACAGTATTTATAATAACATATTTGATAACATTTCAATATCTTCGGCTATTTTTATTACGGCACAGGAAATTCCAGAAATTTGCCATAACGCATAATGCCATGCATTTTTAGTTAATTATTTGTATTAAAAGGAATCATCAAATTTTAGTTTTAATGATTCCTGAAAAATTTCAAAATTTTATCGTCACACTTACACATATCGGTAAGTTTTTGGATCTTCTCTTAAAGCAAAATGCCAGTTACACTAATTCATTGTAATTTAATAATTAGTCAATTAATATATTTCGCTAATCTATGAGCCTATGAGCTGACTTTCCGAGGATTTAAAAAACGTTCACCGATGTCAAACCTTTGCTTTTATTTTTTTAAGATATTTTACATGATGATGCCAATTTTCAGATAGAATAGGAATGTTATGGTAATGCTATGTTACAGGTATATATTTGTATAAGTTGGTAGTAATAAATCGACAAAATACTATGTTTTTGCTGTGCGATCAGCCGTTTTACACATAAAATCTAACCTACAAAACGTACAAACATCAAATAACAAATTTAACTTAAGTTTATAGTTTATGGCCCATAGTACAGTAAGTGCCACTTTCTGATGTCTCCTTAATAACACATACTTACGTGCTTTACTTACAAAGTTAGGTTTCATGTGCAAAACACTTGATCGAACACAATTACATAGCTTTTTGATGGCTTGTTACTACCAACTCACACGAATATAGACCCGTAA